CAAGTTACAGCAAGTTACTTAATTGGTTAAACAGAGTCTAATAAAAAAGCTTAGTAAAGTGAAAAAAGGTTTATACTAAAAAAAAATGTTATCTATTTGACTAAAACTGACTCTAGGGACCGGCGCATAGTATTACTAGCTACATTATTCTCCTTACTGTTCTCTTTTTCAGGCGAATGTTTTAATGCAGCCAGCCTAGTGCAAAAAAGCTCAGTAGTAAAGTCTCGCGATTTTTGACCGACCCTAAGAATTTCGATACAAATATTAGTGGGATGCATGAATCGTCGCAAAGTTATAGCAAACATCGCATTTGTGGCAAAATTTGCCAACCTGCGACAAACCTAATTTCTTTTGTTTGAAAACTTTCTTGCGACAGAATTGCGACTCTGCCTGACAGTCATTGCATTGTCGTTAAACGCATGTTTTTTATTGTCCTCGAATACTTCAAAAAAAAAAGTACATCATCTTTTTCACTTACGCTTTGAAAAAAAAATAAAATATTTGATATCCGCAGTTCCTTCCGATAGGTTGCTGATAAAATTTTTATCATGTCGCCAAAAATTCCCCTATCCGACGATTCATGAATCGCACTATTATATTTCAGTGCATGGCCAATGTTCAGTGCCAGTGTTTTCAGTGCATGGCCAAAAAACAAACATTTCCCTCCATTTTAGAGGAGGTGGACAAGTGGTCTAGGACACGCAGTATATATTCTATTTTATTTAACTTAAACATGAACAAAATTAATTAAATTGTAAAAGGGTGGCAACTCTGTCAAACGACGTTTTCAATATAATTTAATGTGAATATATAAGATAACTCGTTTTAAAAATGGAATGGAAAGGCGGGAACTTTTTTCTAATATGTTTTTGAAATAAAGCTTGTTTTGTTTGGACACCAATTTTGTAACGTTTATTTAATTTATTAGTTAAATAAAATGTATATCTGTAAACAGGTAGAAACTTTCGAAATAAAGCATCTCTATAATACGTATATTTTCACTAAATTAAAATTATTGTTTTTTAACAGGTGGCAACTCTTTGCAAAAATATTTACCATTTAAACCCTTTCAA